AGGAAGTCACTGGAGAAGGAGGCCAAGCGGCTGTGGCAGCAGGTGGAGCTGAAGGACGCTGTCCTGGACGACAGCACCGCCAGGCTGTCCGCGGCCGAGAGGGAGAGCCGCGCCCTGGACAGGGAGCTGGCCCGCTGCCGGGACGCAGCCGGCAAGCTGAAGGAGCTGGAGAAGGACAACAGGGACCTCACCAAGCAGGTCACCATGCACACAAGGACACTGACAACCCTGAGAGAGGTGAGCTGGGTGCCGGGCCCCTCTGACGAGGGCTGGTGGGGTCGGTTGTCTGCACAGAGCACGCGGGGGGTTGCAGAATGCAGTGGAAACCTGTCCTACGTAGTTTTCCCTGATTACAAAAAATCCAAAGAAAGAAACCACACTCATGCCATCGCATCAGCTCTGACTCAGAGCGACCTGTCCTTGGGTTTCCAAGGCCGTATCACTACTGAAGTAGATTGCCCAGTCTTCCTTCCAAGGAGTGGCTGATGGGTTTGAACCACTAGCCTTCTGGTTAGCAGTCAGATGCCTTAGGCACTATGCCACCAGAGCTCCCAATTACAAACAATCATATAAAGGTATGTAGAACCAAACAAGTGTGGCCCTTAGATGGCACCCAGAGTTAGTGCAGAGGGTGGAATGATCAGCTTTCCCAGGAAGGCCTGGGTTCAGTTTCCAGCCTGTGCACCTCACCCAGCTACCACCTGTCTGTTGGGAGCCTTGTGCATGGCCGTGCTGCTCAACCGGGGTCAGGAAGAAAGGCCTGGTGACCGACTTCCAAATAAACCAGCCCTCAATACCCTATGGATCCCAGACGCCCAGCCAGCTGACCGTGGGGCGGGCACAGGACCCGGCAGTGTTCCTGCTGCGCTTGGGGTTGCTGTGGGTCAGTGCCAGCTCCACCGTGCCTCACGGCAACAGCTGGCACTCTGACGTCCCCACTGCTAGCAGCTCCGTTAATTTCGTTTTAATCGTTTTCCCCGGCCTGTGCTGCGCTCGTACTTGATCTCAGGCTTCCTGGTGGGACTATTCTTCCACTTCCTGTGTCTTACCAAGTAGTTTTCAAAGTATGATTTGAAAGAATGATTCATGTTAATTAATTTTTTAATGTTTAGCACAATTCCCCCACCCCCATTTTTTTTTTATAACTATTTTAAATGATACTGAACTTTGTACACATAATGAATAGATGTGATGATGATCTCAGGATATATTCCTAGAGTGGAATTACAGGATCAAAGAGTGTGAGTGTTTTAAAGCTCTATTGATAGACAGGAAATTGTCTAGAAACCCCCGTCCTGCTTTCTCTGGTCTTCTGTGCGTGAATCACCTGGACATTGGTTCAGTGTGTTGGGGGTGGGGTGAGGGGGGGCTGCAGCAATGCTGCCTCGCACCTGAGTGCTTGCTGTGGCCCGTGTTCAGGCTCTCGCCCGTGTAGGGGTTCGTCGTGGGTGTTTGCCAGTGGCCTTGATCACAGATTCAGGCACGCAGGCCTCTGCAGTCTGTGGCCGGCTGTGGCCTGGTGGAGCCCTTGTGCAGATCCATGGCCCCAGGCAGGTGGTGAGGACAGAGCAGCTGAGAACAGGAAC